CAGCTCTTCAGCAGGAGAGCAGACTGACCACAGCACCCCTCCAGGGACACCGGTTCTTCACCGAAAACGAATACCACGACTGGGACCTCCATCACAACCCTATTATTTTCTCAAAGTTGAATCAGTCACAACCAGGTACGTTTTGATGGTCCAGAGCTCCCTGCCACGCCAAACGACTTAGAAGTCGGTCCTTCACACCTACCTACCTGCAGAGAAGCGGGCAGTTACAGAGACTGTTGACCTCTCCCGTCCAACAGGAGCCACCCGAGCTCTGCTGACGCCAAACCCTCCTCCCAGCTGCAGCCCGCACAGAGCTGCCCTCACTCTCCATCCTCCCTTTGACGTTTCCACTATCCAAGATGAAGCCTCCCATTGCTGGATCAGGATGACTAATCCTTTTCTCAGAAAATCTGGGTAAGTGAACAGTATTATTAAAAAGTTGTATCGTTTATTGAACATAAAATACCCAGCAAAAATCTGTTACCTAGCAACAATAGTAACAATTAAAAACAACAAACAAAACAGTCACAATTAACGACGACAACAACAACAGCCAGAACAATCGCAATTAACAACCACAACCACCACCGCCAAAACCAAACGACGAGTTAGCATCTGAAGCGAGTTAGCTGCTGCTTTCAGTGTCGTTGGTTAGGCCTTCCGCAAGGTCACTTAACCCAGCTTTGTTCAGCGCAGTGATCAGATTCTCGGGGGTGGCGTGTGCGCCCTCCTGATCTTGCCAGGCAACCAGCAGCTGCTTAGCTCTCATCTTCATGTCCTCGCTGTCTGACTCGATCTGCCGTATATCAGAATCCTTCATTTCCAAGTAGGGGGCCAAGGCCTTCCACTGCTCCCCAAGCCTGTTCGCAAATGACTCGATTTGTTCGCCCGTCATGGCTTTGTCCCGTTGTACCTCTGGACCTGGGGGAGGAATAAAAAGAGAGAATGACAGTGAGACACGGGGAACGTCTCCAGATACGGCACATGACTATTCCCTGATCTGCCCATTTTTAAACCTCCTTTTTATGTACAACAGACTGACTTACACCTTTCCTTTAGTTGTGAAAACCTGCTCAAGAGCTCTGAGAACAGATGGATTTTTACAGATCTGTTGCCTGGGTTTCAAAAGGAACGTCCCTTACTGCCCATGATAAAGAAAATGCTGGTTTTTTATGTACCTCCTGTTTGACTGGGAGAGAACTGCTAAAGCCTGAAGTGCATCAGAACTGCCTCCTCCAAATGAAAACGAGGATTTTGACAGGTAGCCTGCAATTTTCAATACATGAGTCAACTAGAATATTAAAATGCAGAGTGATCTTTAACATTTAATTGTCTTTTGGACCTATTTTAATCACTTTACCCAGAGTTAACCCAGGTAAAAACCAGTTTGCTTCCCTTTTACTGAGTTACTAAAGCCTCATGTTCCTATTAGCAGCAGGACTGTGACTAGGATAGTAACCTTAATGTGTAGTCAGTACTTTAAGGAATTTTCTGTCATTCTGGCATCAAGTTAAAAAAAAACCACCACGCAATACTGTGCTCTGCTGAAAAGCCAATTGCTGCAGTGATTACACAGGTGGGTTTGCACATTTATAGCTTATCATGGTCTACAATCTATGGCTTACCACCTATATTTATTTCACTCTGTTTTAAAGAAAAAACCCTAAAGACTGAATTACTTACGCATAGAAATCAATCATATATTTAATTTTTAATGAATATCTCACCCTCATGCCACCTGAAGAGCCAGCTGGCATGGAGTGGAAGCTCCAACTCTCTCCAGTGCTTATCAGTCACACCCATTTATCTAAACTAAACCCACTACATCGAGGGGAAAGAATGGAAGATCAGGAACGACAAGACAACAAAAGCACTCGGATCACTTCCATTATTTCTAAGCACAACGATGTATAGCAGACCACAGCTCTCCCATCTTTGCTTTAAGACAAGATTTAAAGATGTAAACTCAACACAGTGAAGCTCCGAAGGCTGTTTCAGGCAGTGTTAAGCTGAAGAGGACAGAACTTCCCCACTACTGGCGAGGAGACTGGAAAAGGTGCTGGATGGAAAAGGGCAACAGAAGAGAGATTCAGAGAGGCCCACAGGCGGCTTTCCACTAATAGAAAACTCTTTCAACAAAATCACAAAGTCCACGGGTAACCAGCAGTACCCGGCGTGCGAGTTCCACGCCCTGCATACCCCATCTGCCCATGCGGGATCCAAGAGCTAGCATACAGAGATACAACACGCAAGGGAGGTGGTGCTGTGAGAGGAAGGCGTGGATGAGGACAGAAGAAGGCAGATTCACAGACACGGGAGACAGGGAAGGACACTTAGGAGCACGACATACCGGGGTTACAGCAAGAGACAAAAATGGAAGGACTGGTTCATGGAGAGGAACAAGAGACACCGTTTGTCAGGAAGGTTGCTCTTCTCACAGAGAAGCTTTTTCCTTGAAGATATTTTAAATGAAGAGGAAGTAAAGATCTCAGAGTTGGAATATATCCATTTCTGAAAGTCCCGTAACTACCCACCCCAGCAGGGGCTAGAGGGAGGCACTTACCCATGGCAGTTAAAGGGCAGAAAGAACAGGAAAGCGGGGCAAAGAACCCTTGGGTAGGTTTTTTGTGGTTTTTTGTTTTGTTTTTTTTTTTGTTTGGTTTTTTTTACACAGCAACGCTGGCACTTTAGCTATAAACACCTACTAACACTGTAAACATACACTACGCAGCAGAAAAGGTGGAAGAGGCTCCTAATGAAAGTGCTAATCCAACTTCAAGAAGTTGGACGCTTTCAGCACTGCAGGCCACGAGACTGAGAGGCTGCTACTGGTGCCCTGTGTCCTGAAAAGGCTGCACTTTCTGGTACGAATGTGGGTTCAAGTTAGAAGCACTGGGGTAACCAGGACTGGTGACCCTCAGTAGAAACTATGATAAAACACAGCTTCTACAACACACGTCAAGAGAGAAACTGAAAAGACTGAGAACATGCAAATCTTACTTTCATTGTTTTCTTTTAATAAAGCATCATTATCTTCCTCATCTTCATCTTCGCCTGTTTTTATTTCTTCAGAAGGAGGCTACAATGAGAGAACTGAACATCACTGGATGAATTTTGTGTTTAAAGAGAAATTTTACAGCTCTGTGATGGTCCCTGGAATGTGTGTTAGAATGGAAAATCTAACATGATCCCATATGAGAATTGAAAATTCCCCACAGTGTCTTGTATCCACAACACCAGTAACAAGTGTTCTAATAAAACACGGCATTAACTAAAAAAACCTAACGAAAGTATCCACTGACTTCACAGGATCCTCTCCCCATTCTTTTCACAGTAGCTACAACTAAGCATTACATACATAGCTGTAATACTTTAAAAAAACAAACCAAACCACCCAAACCAAAACCAACTTTCTCTACGACTACACTACTGACATTTTTTTAAAGAATTATTATTCCTCACGAATTTTATTCCTCACTCAAGAATTCCTCGAAGTTTGCTGTATTTTCAAACTTTTCTGTACACTAGTTAAAAGGTGGCAAACAAATAAGCAAACAACAAACTTTTCACTCTGATTCAGCTATTAATCAGCAAAGATGAACAAAAGGTTGCTTTCTTTTCCTGCGTTTCAATCGCAGGCCTTATCCACATATTTCTTTCTTGCCATAACATTTGGAACGTGACAGCAGTACCATCAGGAGTACTGCATACAGTGACACCGTAATATATTAAACAGCTTTCTCCTCCCAGTATTTTTTCTAAAATTGCAATTAGCATCTAGTTAACCGATGGCTGAACAAACAAAAAGGCTGTATGTTACAATCCAACCTTTACACCTCAGTGGTTTCACATTACCGACAAGGAAGCCCTCAAATACGGAAGCATGGGTTCATATCCGCAAGAAACTGCTGGGTTGTGTGCGAACTCAAAGGTTTAGAAAATGCTCCCCCGCCCAACTGTTAGCCTCTCTTATCCCTGTGTATAAAGTGATCTGAAAGACACCTCCCTGGCCTCAGATTTGTACTGTTGAACATGCAAAGGGTTAACGCCTTAGATTTAGAGCCCCACAAGGTCTATTCTTCTTTCCACATTTTCAAAGCCAGGGGGCTGACAGAAGAGCTCTGGTAAGTCTCGCTGTAAAGCTCTGGTAACACTTCAGCTGCATACCCTGCCCCTTCACTACGGGCTGCCACCCCAGTAGCCACAGCTACCGATATTCACGAGCCCTAACACCGGCTTACGCCTTCAATGAAAAGTGGTTTGCACTGCAACAGGGAACCCACATAGCTGGGTACAAATATATTCCCGTCTACCAACCCAGCAGAAAAACTTGTATTCTGTGAACAAACAGCTGTGGCAATCCCAAGGCAGACCTCAGCAGTCACTTGGTTAGTCAATGTTATTCACAGTTCAGTGGTACTGGGATCTTCATTGATTAGACCAATTTTACTTGCAATTTTTACCTTGCAAACTTTTTTTTTTTTGGCTGTGTTTTTTTGCCCCCTCCCTCCCCATGGACTCCCAAATGGACTGCAGAGAGACAAGCAGGAAGTCAAATGAATTCAGCATTTATTATTATAGGATAATATTACTTACAGGCAGCTCCTTGGCTAATTTGATTACCATGTTTTCTAGATATTCAGGTAAACTCTTGAATTGTTGGTTTGTTGGCTGGAAGAAGTGGGGACTTCTGCGAGCTAGAAGTCTCAATGCTCTCCAGCCATAGTTAGAATTGTTCACAGCCCTATAAATAAAATACAAGTTTGATTGGTAACAGCCTGTCATCTATAAAAGCACAGAAAGAGATCTGAGTCAGTTCCTAATTAATATAATTCTGTCCAAACTTACAAATTTTTTATACATTAGAGTTCTGCACAGATATTAGTAATACAGAGAACAGACTGTTTTCTTCAACAATCCAAACGTGAAAGAGATCAAAATAAAGTGAAACACAAAGATTGACATACTTATACTTATTTTCAACCATGTTTTCAGGATCTGCTTGTTCAATAGCTTCTTCAAAAAATTCCTCCAACGTTGGCATATATTCCCTAAAAAATAAAACACGGAGCTTAATACTCCTCATAATCTACTCTAAAATAGCTGGCTTTCAGACCCTTCATACACATCCCGAGCTTATCCACAGAAGAAAATAATCCCAAAAAACAACCTACCCAAATTCAATGATTGCAAATAAGCAAGGAATGTTTGCTACATGTTGCTATAAAATTATTTACTGCATAACCACTGAAGCGTACCAGTAGTCGCTAGCACTGCCTATTATATGCATTTAAACCTTCTGCCACAACAAAAGGCGGACATGAACGTCTGTCAATAGCATTCGGTGAAAAAGGACTATGGGATGCAAGACAAGAATTCTGGCAATAAGGAAGTGAGACTTTCATAAAAATACCCGTAATAAGCGACCGGCTGTGTTAGAAACATGCTGCCACTTGCACAGCTCACAAGCCCTCAGGAGTCTACAATGGTTGTTAGTTTTGTGTAATTTGACAGGACAAGTAAAATGTGGCCTCTTTACCCCCCCACCCTCCCCGTTTCAGTTTCATCTGCTACCAGAGAAAGCTAGACTACTATTATTCCCCAATTCCAATAATTTATGATCATTAGTTTTAGAGGAGGAAAAAATACTAAACAGCTTTATGTTTTACTTAATGACCCCATCTTAGTGGCTCCCCAACTTGCTCAAACACGTTCATTTCACTCCCCGTGGTGATCCCTGCACCTTCCGCTGAAGGTACTTCAGTTAAAGTACATTCAATACAAGTCTAAGTCTACCGGCATCAGGAGAAATTGATTTATTTGAAGTGGACTGAAAAAGCATCTGATCCTGGGCTCAAAGAGATGTGATCGGTGGCATGAAGTCCAGCTGGAGGCCTGTCACTAGCGTATACCAGGGCTTGATACAGGGGCCCGTACTATTTAGCACTTTAATTACTGACCTACTGATGATGGGACAGAGTGCACCCTCACCAAGTTTGCAGACAATGTAAAACGGGGAGGAGTGGTTGATAAACCAGAGGGTTGCGCTGCTATTCAGAGGGACCTCAACAGACTGGAGGGACTGGCTGACAGGAACCTCATCAAGTTCAGAAAAGGGAAACGACAAGTCCTGGCCCTGGGGAGGAACAACACCCCAGGTACCAGTACATGCTGGGGATTGACTGGCTGGAGAGCAGCTTTGTAGAAAAGGTCTTGGTGGACAACACCACAAACATGAGTCAGTGATGCACCCTTCTAGCAAAGAAGGCCAGCGGCATCCTGGGCTGCATTAGGAAGAGGGTTGCCAACAGGTCAGGGGAAATGATCCTTCTTCCCTTCTTCTATTCAGCACTGGTGAGATACATCTGGAACACTGGGTCCAGCTCTGGGCTCCCGAGCACAAGAGAGACAGGTCCATGCAAAAGGCTGCGCATGGACAGGAACATCTGACATCCAAGGAGAGGCTGAGGGAGCTAGGACTGTTTAACTTGAAGAGAAGGCTTGGGGGCACTGAATACCTGATGGGGGCAGTAAGGAAGAAAAGGGTCAGACTTGATGCTACTCACTGAAAGTACAAGCAGCAACTGGCATAAATTGAAATACTGGAAATTCGACTTAAGCATCAGAAAAAAAACCCCAACGCTTTTCTGTGAGGGTGGTCAAACACTGGAACAGGTTGCCCAGGAAAGGCTGTGGAGCTTCCACTCTTGGAGAGACATTCAAAACCTGACTGGAGAAGCTCCTAGGCAACTTGCTCTAGTTGACCCTACTTTGTGCAAGGGGGTGGACTAGGTGATCTCTAGAGGTTCCTTCCAACCTCAGCTCTTCTGTGATTTAAAAGACAGTATTTGTGGTTCATAGGGAACATATTAAAAAGGCGACTGATGTTTCTGTTCTTAGAACAGCTAGTGGTTGCTTCTGAAAGGTATTCAAACCAGTACATAAGGAACCATGACCTAAAAAAAAATAACAGAAGAATTCACAATGATCAGGAAAGTTTGCTTGTAGTGTTCAAAGCAGCAAGAAATACAGATTACTTAAGAGCTGTAGGTTACTGTAGGCCAAGATTATCAGTAGTGCAAAGCAAGCTCATCATGATCTGTAGTTCTCCTACCTAGTGTTTGACAGAGACACATCTGCTTCTACAACGGAACGTGGTAATCAGTTGTTGGGGGGGGGGGAAGCGCACTGGTCTATAAATTCACTTTAGTTTTGTTTTGAAAAACACATTTTGCCCAGGAAAGCAGTGCCCCATGCATGTTTAAGTGTAGTATTATCACTGACTACTGGAACCAAAGCCAGCATCTTGAAAACCCATCTGATTTGAATCCTGCTATATTTGGCACTATGCAAAAACTTAGAAGACAGACTTTATCCCAAGAACAGCTATCTAAAAAAGAAGACAGGTAAGGAAGTATTGCCCCATTTGAATGAAGACATGAGGAATCAAAGCAGAGAGTTACAGTCACTTGACCACATTCAGTCAAAGTCTATAATAAAACTTGGAACTGAATCCAGATCCCCCGGGATCTTCTCTTTCCTGCTTACCATGGCATGCATTTTCTTGGTTTATCTCCATTTGTTTAGTTTGGGTTTTTTTTCCCCATTTAAAGAAGTTGCAGCACAATACAATCATGCATAGGGAATCAAAAGCTTTGGTTCCAAACACAACTCCACCTTTAGCCCTTGGCCTAGTAAAGGCAAGTATCCTGTCAGAGGCCTTCCTGCACATCCCAGCCTCACAAAAAAGGAAGGCACTCCTCTGCAGAGCTCTCAACCTCTGGAAAAGCAATTCCTCCACTCAGGACATCTGCACAGCTAGCACCTCTCGCCCGGCATCCAGCCTTTGCAGCCATTACTAGCAAAGTTCTCTTTGGGAACTGTCCCATTCCTTTTCCAAATTTTCATACTAGGTACCATGTCTGCACAGACGGGGATTACGCTATCTTTAACAAACAGAAAGTGATGTAGCAAAGTACGTTTTCAGTATTTCCTACAATTGTGCAAGCAGAAGCATAACCAGTAATTGTCTTTTTCTACATCTGCACCACTAGTAGATCCGGTATGCACTGAAACAATGTCTGCTAGCCAACTTCCTCTTATCTAGTATTGTTCAAAGCACATGCCTGCCTGAAAATCATAGCCAAATAGCATGCTAACTTCATTAGAGCCAGACTTGGCAATCTTCCTTTATTATATAAGGTAATTATACAGTCACCCTCTACAAAATGGGAGTTTCCATCTGGTTTTTAGCTTAGATTTTACTACGCAATGAAAATTACTGACAGCATAAACACCAGTGAAAAAAACTGTAAGGAGATTTTAAGACAAAGATTAATACAACCAACTTCTCTCAAGACACACAGTGAAATGGCATACCATATAAGATCATCTTATATACTTTCCTTATGCCAGTTTTGTAATAACTGTAATTTTGTGTGCAACTAGAGTGCTGAAAGTTAGCTTTAGACAATGATGTACCATCTTTTACCTACCTACTCTCAGATTTACAAGCTTCCATGTTATCAGGACATAAATTCCAAAGGCGGGTCAGTTCCTCACTGAAGAGAAGCATAAACAAATATTAAACTTCACATTCATCACTATCATTCCACGGTCCATCATTCACCAAAGTCAGACACATGAAACAACACTACAGAAATTCTCACCCTAGAGCCTTTATAATAAAGCATACCATACAAACTTTGTGATCATACGTATCAGAATTACCAGAAGTGACAGAAATCTTATCTGATGTTGCAAATTAGGAAAATTATGTATTAAATTTCTATTATAATCTCTTGCTGATCTATGATCAGAAACAGTAACAAACTCTCTTTCCAAACTAGCTAAGGTCAGGCTATTTTGTTTTGATAAATGAAATAATTTATCACTTTCTTTTTCAGAAGGGACATTTTACTAAACACTCAGTACAAGGTATTGAAGCTCAAGACAAGGTCAAAATTTCCACATCTAGGTTGGGTGAACTGTTACAATGAAAAAACTATCATTTCTCCTAAAGAAGGAAGTGGAAAAATGCAGCACTTAGTATCATGTAAAATAAGCACTTTTATTGGAGAGGACATATCAAGAAGAATTCTTTGCTCCAGGAATAAAATACCAGTGGGTATTACTTTAGAACCCATGGCATAGATACATTTTAAGCAAAAACATAAAGATGACAAAAGTATAAAAACTCCAACGAGTACCAACCACTCATTTTCAGCCTGTAACTTACAGACTATTTAAAAGGCATCTACAAGAGATGACTATAAGGAAAGGAAGCCTACTGCAAGTTTTAAAAGAACTAACGTATCCCTTGGCTGTTCTTTTCTGGCAGTTCCAAAGTGAAGAAGTTTGAAAATTACTGACTAGAAAAAAGTCAGTGGCAAAAAAACCCCCACAGAAAACCTGAAACCAACCAAAACCCAGAAACCCTGTAACAAAAAAAATCCAACGTACTTCCCCATAAGGATTCTTTTGTTTGGTCCTTTTCCTAAGAAGTCCTCTGGAGCTGGCCTCTTTCTCACAGGCCTCATTGGCTTAGAATCAGGAGGTCTAAAGAAAAAAAAAAAAAGCTTTTTAGTATCAAACCAGTAATATTTAGAGAACAAAATTAAGCCATTTCACTTCAGCTGGTGCTGAGTTAAATCATAATGAAAGTATTCAGAAAGACCGGGGATTCTAGGGTGGAAGGAGGGAGGGGGGGAAGAGGAGAAAGAAGGTAAAGTAAGGATAAGGAAAAGGATTCGCCAGACACCAAAATTAGTTCACTCACAAATTTAAAGGTCTATCAGAGTCCCAATATAGAAAAAGAAGCAAATCACATTTATGCCAGCAGCACATACTAAGTATGATCTACCCTGCTGCTGGGATCATCTCTTCTATGATTGCAAGTTCTGTTTCCCCAGGTGTACCCGATTTCATGGGATCAGAGAATGGAGATCCCAGACCACTGAGGTTAGGGTAAGACCTACCCAAGCTGAAACTCTGGCTGAGATCTAAAGAAGGAGACAGAACATTTATAAAAGTCAAATTTCATAATTTTACTCCCCCCCCCCCAGTAGTAATGTCTCTCTTCTCACAGCCCCCCTCCTTCTTGCAAATAGATGCAGTCATGAAGAGGTGGCTCCACCTGATCTCTCCATACAAGGAAATCTGCAGAGAGATAATGACCCAGCTGCTCCTTTCCACAAAGAGGCTACAGTCTATGTGTAGAATAAATAAGGATGGAAGAGGAATGTTTGGTCATCACCTCATATGGAGACGTAGACATATGGAGTCAAAGTTCAAGTTTTGCCACTAGTTAGTAACTAATTACACAGGAAACCTTTCAATGGCAAAAGCCACCTAATTATAATTTCCTTTCAGGTAAGCGATCACCACCAAGTGGCAAACCTAATAAGGTATGTAAGAGGAGAACTGTTACACAAAACTCCAGGTATGCTGCCCCACCAAAGCCATAATTGCCAAAGGCTTCATTACAGGCAACCCAAAGCAGTATATGGAAAAGTCAGGCACCAACTTCTTCAACCTAGGGTCTGCTGAAGGTAGGAGGGGAGACAACATGCTTCAGTCTCCTCAGTCACTGGATCCTTGGTATTAAGAGAACAAAACATTGCCACGAGACAGTGAGGAATGCTCTCCTGAGACCCCGCACATGCATAACCGCCGCTTCACTAACATAATGATCCCTTAAGACTTTTGGCAGAAGTCTAGGAGCCTTCTGCACACGCAAAAGGGACATTCAACAACACAAATCTCAAAGTTGTGTGAATCATTAACGTTCATATACATCGTGGATACATATTCTGAAGTTGAACCACCATTTCACACAAGCAGCAGCAAGCTTCTACTTCATAATAGAGTTACCTTTCTTTCACAAAACTTGGGCAGCCCTCATTTTTCCATGAGTTCCAGTTTTCTTCGGTATTTAATATATGCTGGAAAAATATAATATTACACATTATTAGGGTCATAATCACCTTCGGCGTTGACCCCAAAGATCTTAATTAAGCTATTAAAATTAAGGGGAAAACTTTGTTATAGTGTGTGTACTTCAGCCACTATTTTGAAGGCCAAAGTATAATCTTAGACAGCTGGTTTATTCAAAATTAGTGTATCTCCTCTCTTCAATAATTGCGGGAAAGGCTTTATTTCTCCTTCTCTAAAGAAGAAAATAGATGCAGCCAAAGTAAAGGAAAAAGGGAAAGCAAGATGACAATTTTTTTTTTTTTTAATTTCACTTGCTTCTTATTCCCATGTCTTTAGGCACAGCACTCCTTTCTGCAGAGACTTTTAAAAAATTTTATTATTTTTCTCAATAACCAATGTTATCTGTATGTACACATGCACATATATGCACATTTCCATTTCTCCCCAGGAGAAGGAAGAAAAGTACATTAATGAAAACATGGGAAAAAGATGACTGCAAAATAAAAAGATGTTACGAGACCTTTTTTACTGAGATGAGAGAAAAGTTCTCTCAGATATTACATCTATGTTCCAAAAGCTCGTTTAAAACCATACTGCTTTTTTATGCGCCATATAGACTTTGTTGAGACAGGCACCAAAGTACTTACCTCTACCATTTTTGAGAATCTTTCCCCATCTGGAGGATTTTCTGAAAGAAGCTATGATTGGGAGGGAGAAAAAAGTTAACTTTTTGCATTACATTTGTAGCAGAACATGTAGAAAAAACCCTAAAGAAAATGGTGGTTACTGCTTCAAAGGTCATTAATACTTCTATAAAAATTACATGGGAAAATATTTACCACGCAATAGTATATGTAGTGTACCAACCTGGTAAACCGCTTTTGTAGTATCTTCAATCCAAAGAGACTGTTCATCTGTTAGAACATAGTTTGAACTGGAATTGAAAAAAAACAAACAAAAAAACCAAAGAAGTGTCATTAAATCAGCCAGAAACAAAAAAAACCAAAGAAGTGTCATTAAATCAGCCTACTTTTTTAAGTTTGAAGAGTTCACTACACATCAAAGTAGTGCTGAGGACACATCATTTACACTACATACTTTCTGAGGGGTGTTAGAGGGGATCTGAAGAAAGTAGTTTGAATGTGCTCTGGTCTGGTCCCATGGACTGACCACTTCTTAGTTTGTGGAGTTAATTAGATGTGCTTCTGGAATATACTTTCTGGTTTAGCTTCATCCAATAGGAAGTCCACTTGCATGATTCAACATCACACCTTGATGCTAGACCCAAAGCACAGCAAGTGGGCACAATGAAGAGACTTACTTCAGAAAAACCCTCTCCTAACACCAGCTAAAGCACTACTGTAGACAAAACACAGTAAAAGAAACAATTAATCTACTGGCTGTATACAGAACACAGATCTTTAATATCCCAAAACAATTCTTTTATTCATCTGTTTAATGAATTGTCATTTAAATGACTATCTCCTGTACAGGACTGAACTGCAATTCAGGAGACCTGAATTCTATTCCTTCTCTGCCACCGGATTGCCTTGGTAAATAATACTGAAAGATAATCTATAGAATGAGGATAATGATCCTAATCTAGTTTGCAACATTCTCTGAGATGTGTTTATAAAAAGCAGTATATTGCAGGTGAAAGACGGCTGTCTTAACGTTAATCATTACATGCACATGTGGTCAAGGGCACAGGAAATGAACAGAGGTAGGTTTTTCTTCCAGCATAACATTAGAGTACAAAGTAGGAAAAGAGAGGGGTTTGTTCTGTCCCATTGATTTGTAAAAGCAATAATCACCATTGTTATTTCTTGCTACTTTAGACAGAATTCTGTAGCACACCAAGAAAAAAAACAAATCAGCAACCAATGCCACATCGCAGAGTCAATATAGATTCAAAATGATGCCACATACAAGCAGCTTGCATTGGTCTAACAACTTGCTGCCTCCAAAGAGAGGGACTCCTTCCCTCTCATGGCTGGCACTCACCTTAAGCAAGCTTTAGTGGCCTCTACTTCTGAGACCCCGCTCAACTCACCAATTTGGCAGAAAATTAACTCTGCGAAGATGAACAGTTTGGGTTTTTTGCTGGTTTAGTAAACTGCACAAATTTGAGTAAGTCTAATGAACATTAGAGCCACTGCAAGGGAAGACACAGAATCACACAGAGAGAAGCAGAGAAAGGCAAGAAGGAGACCTCCGCTTTCCTGCTGTAAAATAACTTCAGCCACATCCTGTATTTCCCAATCCAAAGCTCTGCAAGTTTCACAAGAACCTTAGAACAAATAGACAAACTCTTTTAAAATATTTTGGTTTATCTCCAAGTTCTTAGCTCCCCATCCCCAAAACACAAAATACTTCCACATTACCTTTTAAATTTGACCTGCCCCTTTAGATACTGAAATAGTATTAGGTACTGCAACAAGATGTGACGGCGAAAGTTACTGTCACTCAGCTGTAAATCCATCAGCTAAACAAAAACAAACAAACAAAAAGAATTACACATATATTTTAAAGACACTAAACATGCATAAGTGAAAAAATCCAACAAATGTTTTCAGATAAGCTAGATGGGGACTGTTTTTACAACAGGGTAAGTCATTACAGAACCTCTATTCAGTATCACCTATCAGGACAGTGTTCCATAAGGTACTAAGATCGGTAAACTGTCATCTAGCATAATCTAGGAAAGAGTTATTAAAATTTCTAATGAAATCCATCTCTTAAAAGCATGAGGAACTGCTTGTAAAAGTAAACAGTGTCTCCCTAGATTTTTGTTTAACTAGTAAAATCTAGCAGTATAAAACAACATTCACTTTGAAGCAAACAAGAATTTGAAAAAAACAAATATTCAATTTTTTCAGTAACTGAATGACAGCTTGCTCCCTTTTCCTATGAACGACTGGCTATAACATAAGGGTTTGGTTACCACAGAAGGGTTCACTCTCATCAACACTTGCACAGTGATACACTGCTTGGTTTCTATCTTATGTGCTGCAGCATGATAGATCATACAAAGGAAACATTTGAAGATTCTTCAGATAAAAAGACCTTTGACTATTGGGTGTTAGTTAAGCAACTGGTTCTGTATCTTCTATACTGTTATTTTAAAATTGTCAATGCACAGGTGAAAGGCTTAAGAGGAATTTACCTACTCTTCTATCTCAGAAAGAGAAAACTCATGCTGCACTGAGACTTGGTTTCTGTCATCTATTAATGCATGCATTTAGAAGTTAGTTACATATTATTCCAAAATGAAGACAACAATTTTAGGATTAAATTAAATACAGTGTTACATTTTTGAGTTAATATTAACAGAATTAAAAACTCTCAAGATCTTTTTCAAAGCAATTTTAAACAAGACCATTATGAGGCAGAAAATGTAGTTAACACATCATCAGCCAAGTTTTGAAAATTAATTCTAAAGGCAATAAAAAAAAGCAACAGATCTTTAAATATTTACTCTCTTTTAAGTTCCCTTTCTAAATGTAACAATACACATCAAATGCAATAAATAAATGTCAGCTTTACCGCAGACTCTTATTCCAGAAATAAAAGTCCCTGAATCATCAACTAACAGAGGTAATGCACACAATGTAACGGGATACCCAGAGAAGCTGTGGAGTCTCTATCTGTGGAGACATTCAAAACCCAACTGGACACAGTGCTGATCAAGCTGCTCTAGCTGACAGCTTTGAGCAGGGAGGTTGAGCTGGACACAGGTTCCTTCCAACCTCAACTAGTCTGTGATTCTGAGAAAAGAAGCCACATACCTTTTCACTAGTTAGGAACTTTGCAAAATACACATGTTCTCCTCCTGTTTTTAGTTCTTCCAACTTTTTTCGAGAAGCCTGAGTGTCGTCCAATTTGTAACTTTTGAAAACAGCCAGAACTTCTTCTGAGTACTATAAAAGAGTTATTTACCACATGAAAATAATACAGAAACTTTGTAGTTAGAGACCTACGCTAGACTTAGTGCTAAGCAAGTAAAAGAATTTGAAAATTTGCTATCAGCCAGCTGAAACAAGACCCATTTGCCACCAATATGTAAGGCTTCTCTGAACACCACAAATGACAGTGAAAGTGTTATTTATAATTTCAGAACTTCTAATCATTTGGAGTATTTAAAATATGCTAAGAAAAACAATGTTATGGGTTGTGAACCGTGCACAATTGCTTTGTTGTTTAGATGTTATGAAGAAAAAAGGTCGACATGAAGATAGTGCTATATTCAAACTTAAATTAAGTTGTTCAGAATATATACAAAGAAAGGTACATAAGTGAGAGTTAAATCTGCAGTGCTGCTCTTAAAAATCAATTCAGAGCCTTAAAGCTGCAATGAAGAAAAACTCAAAAATTTAATCTGAAAGACTTAAGCCTGGCCCTGTTCAGTTTCTCTGAACCATACATGGGGTTTTGGTTGGGGTTTTTTTTTTGAAAGCTGAGAATGTAGACCTCATTAACTAGATATATATTAGAATGTCTGAGCAGATGTTACCTCTTATTACCAGAACACAGAGAATGAAGATTAAAAAAAGCAGTCTTCTTGCTATCAAATAAACAGTGAGTGGCAAATTGTGAAGAAACAGGTAGCTTAGCAATAAATCATCCTCAACATTCATACTAAGGAAAATTGAAACAGCTGGCTTAAGGGGACATTCGAATCATTACTTCTATAAAGAGATTTATTTCATTAGAAACCTATCATCTTTAGGATCCCACTGGGATCAATGTGAGTATTCAAAAGTAAGATCTAGGACAAGGTAGAACCATTTTTCTTCTTGGGGGGAAAAAAAAACAAACCTGAAACCCACAAGTTCTGCTTTTTGCAGCTGATGAATCGCAAAAAAGGTACTTCTGACATTGTTTCAACATATGAAGTCTTTCTGTTAGTGACTTAGGCAAGTTTTATTAGAGGATTTACCGTACATCTTCATATACTGTTTATTGTCAAAGGCTCACTTTAGAAAACAGCAAAATGCATTTCCTCATGCACTATTATTTTTCAATGGCATTGGCAGTTCAACTCTTCTACGCTTATGCAGTCACTCTCCTACTTGTATAAATGGTTATTTTTACTTAGGCTGAATTCTTGAAAGCACGAACTCAGATTACCTTAAGAAAAGTTTTCCATGAGACCTTCTCGTAGCACTGCACAGGATTTCTAAAATAATCTTGAAGTGACCAGAATTTTCTATACAGGTTATAATCTATTGGAATGGAACTGCGGGGAGAAAAAAATTCAAATGGTTACAAAAATCCGTATTGAAAGAGATATATTTAATTCAAGCCCACTCAGGAATGTGCAATCCCAGAAATTAATTTTGTAAGTGAAATGTCAACAGCAGGCCCTTACAGAGAAATCTGTAATTCAGAATTTGTCCCTAAAAGAGTGTTCCATCCGGTCTACTGTTACTTTCTCACCATAAAAGCAAAAATAGCGTAAAACTCTAAGATCCCTTTTTCTTACTATCTGGGGAGTGAAGAGGAACACAGCTTTTTCTCCTAAAAGCATATACAGCATGTACTCAGAATCCCTGAATACATCTTACCAGAATAAGTTTTGTCAAGATAATTGGGAAAATTGGGAAAAAGAGAATAACAGTAGTTCTCAGCCAGGGTATGCAACTTTTTCAAATAATCTGTAGATTTCTTTTCTCTTCCAGGTATCTCCACTTAAACAGATTAAGACACTGCTAAGTTGTATCTAATCTTGAGAGGACATGAGATAAGTAGAATTCTGAGTACAACTTTTAGGGGTATTTCCCAAACAGCTCTTTACTTTCACTTTATAAAATTTTGTTTCAACTTTTAGAATTGCTATAGGCTCACCAACTTGTTGGTGCTTCATCATCTCCCATTTCACCTTCTTCTACGTCCATTCCTTCTTCTCTCTCCTCGGTGTGCTAATAGGAAAAAAAATAATTAGAAACTTATACAAATACCACTATAATTTACATACAGTTTTCACGGTGTTCTTTATTTTAAACATTCTATCACACTTTAGATCAGAAAGCTTAAACTGGTAATTCAAAAGATCTCTAAAGTATTATTCCAGTAAAATGCGCAACAAATTCCTGTTTTAACACCTTGCTACACTTTGCAACAGTAGCCTGACTTCTCCTGAAAAACAGCTGAAGGGACAGCACTATCCTCCATACACTGTGGGGAAAACTTAGTACAGTTAAGCAACAGTACTCATCCCTCACAATCAAATAAATTTTTTTCCCCTCAAAGTCTGCACAGCTTAACGTAGCAGGTAACATGCCTATTTCCAGAATCAGCAGCTTGACCTGGAAGAGGGACAACCACATTATGAACATGCAGTTCTGAACAATATGCACAGTAGTGCATTTCTGCGCAGTCTTACAGGTTTCCTGCAGAATGAGTGAAAAACGACATAGGAATTTTCACCTTCTGTCCTAGAGTGCTCTCATGTTCATTGGTATTGAAAACAGTGACATTTTCCAGGTTAAACTGACTCTGCAAGTTAAGTCCTGTGAAAAACAAAGGGTCAGTCTTAGAAGCTGTGAAGTTCCTAAGTCTGTTCATTCAGTTGTTTATGAGATGCTGATACTAAATTCTCAGAAACAGAATTCAAAACTCTCATTTGTTGTGATATCAAACGCAAGTCACTTACAATATCAAGGGTAGAGACAAGAACTAACATACAAGGGCAAAGTGATTTTCCCCAACTGAATTTGGTCTGCAACCATCAAACTTAAAAGATTCAGCATATTTAGTCTTTGTTAGATGCTAAGTGTGATGAAATGCAAAAAATCTCACCTGACTTTTCTGAAAGTGGAAATAACCTAGCCAAGAATAGCTGAATTCTTCCACAGAAGACTGTGTTTTGTGACTTAGATAATCTTCTTAGGAGGTCTAATTATTGTAAAGAGTAAAGAATATTAGTATTTATCCCTCTCTCAGTTTCTCACGTGCTAGAATATAAGATTTGCTAATTACATGACCTACATAGCTAATGAAAGGAAGCTAAGATTTGTAAATTTAAATGCTAGTAACTTCCTCAGATCAGCCATATTTTTTCCCAAACGCATTCTAACAATTATCCTAACACCTTCAACAGCAATAAAAAATAAGTTCAAATGAATCCTACTCAAATATAGCCTCTGATATGGGCCTTGTCATTGCTGAGGAATAAATATTTCTCAGATGTTCTGCTATAGCGACCTCCAGTGATGAAGAGATTTCCCTAAGGTCAGAATGACTTTTACATTAATCAGCAAGACTCATGAATCATCTGCTAAGATGAGTGATCTGCCTTTTAACTTTATTACTTATTGAACACATCTGAATGTAAATCAAATCATTAAACTCACTTTCATTTGCTGAGACAGTGAATTCTTTAATTCCCCACCACCCCCCTGAAAAACTACAACTCACCATTGCACATTCGTAGCAAGTAATTTTTCCCTGCAGAGTAAAACATATTCTGAAATGGAGTAAAGGTATTTAGATCATTAAGAGAACACAAAACCTTTTTGAACAGAATTTAAGTCAATCACAAGCCATGAGTAAGTATGAGTCATTCCTACTGTTAACTCTAAATTTGAGTTTTCCCTTAAATAAGAGGCAGGTTTCACAAAAAGGCAACATAAAACAAGCAGTCCCACAAATTCCAAGAAAGCATAAACCACAACATTTAAATCCAGCCTCCATACAGAAAAAAAAGCATGTGACAATGAACTGTAAGAGCAGTATCCTTTTTTTTTCCTGGAACACACCAGTTTTAACACTCATTGCCTTTATTATGCCATGCACTATTTATACACCAACACAAAGAGCAATACACAAAAGATTTAGAGCATTCACAGTACTAGTAATTTGGCAGCAGGAGAAAGAAATCGATAGGTACTTGAATTAACAATAAAGAACAGTTTGTGAATATATTGGGGCTGACAACGTTAACTGAAACAGAACAGCCTGAATGTCTCGGTTAGGAAATCCAGGATAGGAAAACACAGAGAAACTGGAATGCTTTTCAGGTGTTACCTATAGAGTTGCTGACACTTGTGGTCCTGGCAGGACTGCCAGAGAGCAAACCAAGAATACCGAGATCCAAGATTTCTTATGATCTTGGAATAAAATGCAGGCAGCTTAGGACTTCTGCCCGAGCCCCTGAATTCCCTCTTTAATTAACAGCACCTGCAGCACAAGAAGCTCAGCAGCCTGTCGCAGCAGATCTTCCCCTGCTACAGCACCATGGCACAGCAGAGCGTAAAACCCTCACACAGGCTGCAAAATGTTCCAAATGTTCCTCAAGAGCAGAAACATTTTAGGCCAACCTATTCACCATTGCTATAGTCCTGTAATGGAAAGCTCATTAAGGAAGTGACCAAGAAGACGTCTTTCTCTGCAAACTGGAGATCAAGGAATCTCCTGCAGCTCTGAGGAAGAAGATGAGTAATAAGTCAAGAGAGAAGCTACTCATACAAATTGTGCATCGGAAGTTAGAGTTCCAGTCTCTAAATGTGACAAACACTGTATACTGGAGAGAAAGGAGTTAGAGATAGAACATCAATCAAAATTATGATTTCTTTTATTATTAATTTTCCAACCTCTGCTGCCCAGACATTTTTAAGCTTCAAAACAAAATGTGCTCAATGCTACTTCTATTTTAACACAAACAGATACAAAGACATTTAAAATCTGTTTGTAAAAATGGTTCAGGTAGACAGCAGCTTTGGCACAACCATATCACATTTTGGAAAAATACCTACCGATTTCCACGTAGCAACATTTTTCTCCACAAAAGTGAAAATTTTGTCACACTGATCCAAAGGCAGGCAATCCAGAACATCCCCCAGAAGCACAAAAGGGGTTGATGCAGTGCAGATACCTATGAGGAACATATTTGAACTGAAATGTAATAAAGATGCATGGCAATTGAGCGACATTATGTTAAAAAAGAAGAAAAAAGTTCTCCTGGGTTCCTACAAATACTAACAAAAAGCTTGGGCTAAAGCGTGAACTTCCATTAAAGCTATTTCTATACGTACACATACGCAGATGAGCTTTACAAGAGCTTTGCACTAGCGTAAAACAAATAATAAAGAGTAACTGTTCTAAAAACCTCAAAGTCTGAAACAATGTCACATCTCTGCAGACTGCAAGTGAACTCTTCTAGACTTCTAAAGCCAGTTAGTTACACTACACACACCCATGAAGTTCGAGTCTTTTCCTCAAGCAAAGCACCGCTAAAGCAGTGCTCCAAGTCTGTCTACCCATGCTCTGTAGTTTGGTAGTGTCTGCATCCCTCATAATCACAGGTCTTGTTATTCTACAGTTCATAAAACACATATGTAGTTGAGCTATACTTACCAAAACAAATATTTGATGTGTAATGTGAACACATAAACAAAGGCAAGTGCACAAAAGCCTCTTCAGAAGACATTAGCACAATGATTTCTGACACAAACGACAGTTATAGAAACACATTAAAGTATCTAAAAAACAGCTGTGTACTGACAGGTCAGTACTGGGAGACGAGCACAGATATTCAGAAGTTATTTCTGGCTCTGCAGCGACTGACAGAGAAACCTACAAGTCATTTAACCTCTCTGCCCCAGTAGTCCCATCAGTCTCATCTCTGAAACTATGACAGAAGACTTCTGAGCATTTTACAGTGGTGGACAAAGATAGAAAATGCTAATTATGTTGCAACCAAAACCATGCATCTTCCTCTATTAAAAAAAAAAAATTCCAACACGAATGTCACACATATAACTGAATTTAATTATATTACACTTCACTTCTCTCGTTAAACAGACTTAATAACTGCTAGCATAAGGACCACATATTATCAAAGCTAACTGCTGTAGATGACTTACAAAAAACAAGATTTTAAAATTCCCCTAAATGGACCCTAAAACTGCCAACAGATTTGAGAGAAAGATGCTCACCTTCTGTGACTCCATTAATAGCAAGAGAAATAATTGCCAGGAGATTTTCACATGGAGCTTTGTTTATCTAAACAAACAGAACAGTGTTAAACTTTTCTATTCCGACCTAAATATATTTAACAACACTAAAGTTCTTGTTTTGAAGTATGCAAATTTAAAACAAATATTGACATTCGACTTCCTAAAACTTCAAACAATCTATTAAATCAGGCCTGTCAGTTAACTATATAAAGTTTTTATTCAGTGAGCAACATTTCTTGACCACTTCCGGCCATTAAAGACCCTACAGTATCTACATTCAACTTCCTAAAACTTCAAACAATCTATTAAATCAGGCCTGTCAGTTAACTATATAAAGTTTTTATTCAGTGAGCAACATTTCTTGACCACTTCCGGCCATTAAAGACCCTACAGTATCTACTGTGTAAAGTCATTTACCTCTGAAAATTAATATCCCACATTCAGCCTTCATTCAAGTAATATCAACAAAAACATTCTTTGATTCCTTTCATCATTCTTTTCAGCTGACAGACAGCTTTGTTACACGCTAGTAACAGATAAACCACTCCACCCCACTCTTAGCGTACAGTGATAGAATAATGTGTATTTATGAACCAGAATTTTAAGACAGAGCAGACTTTTACAAGCATTACAAAGAACTGCTGGAAAAGGCTAAGTCAACACCTCTTGCTATAGCATGGTATCTGTAAAACACTGCCATGCTGTCCTACCTACCAATCTCCTTTAATCATCTATATTCAATCTTCATAGATAACTTTCACATAATTAATGTTTTTAATAAACAGCACTTCTTTATACTAAAGTAAGTTGCTGTCAAATTAATACATTAACTTACAAACAGAAATTTGAGCTTTATCAAGAGACAAGCTGTAGCAGTTTAAAGTACTTACTATTTCTTCTTCTACAATAACTCTAAAAGCTTGATCCAAGGTACACTTCTTTTCATTTTCACTGCAAATGCAAATATTCCACATCAGTTAATAACAACTATTAAGGACAAGATTACTAAAAATTATCTGAATAGGCATCTTTTAAAATCAAGTGGCATCTACTTACCTCCCAGGAATCTGGTTAAATGCGTTCAACAATGGCTTGATACTTTTATTATTCAGAGCCTCTCTGGCGGATGTCTACCAAGATGTAAAGAAAGAAAAATTACAAAACCAGTCGGATCTCCTCCTTCCTCTACCCGACAGTGGACAGAAATACTAAGGAATCTATTTGCCACGCACCATGTATCAGTTTACAAAGAGAACTTTGTAACAAGTAGGGCAAATAACAAATGCCTAGCAAATGAGGCATGTGAGCTAGTAGAGCATCACACCTCAGACCTAGGCTAACAATGTGGTAAAAATAGTTCTAAGTGAAACACACAGAAATACGCTGTCGTGACCAACACTCCATCTACAACAGTTTCAAGTCCCATGCACACATCTTCACCTGCCTCACAGGCAGGTTATGGTGGTTTGGGACATGACACCTGCTAACGAGATGGTCTAAAAATTACTGTACCCTGTAATGAAATCAATCTAAGGGAGCAAGTGTCTGTGCCTCGACCACTTCTGTGCAAATCCCATCTGACAAACTGGGCTGCAAACGGCGAGATCCAGAGGCCTGGGTACACATCCAGCCCCGCCTGCTCCCGCAATGGAAAAGCATCATTCAGCAGAGGCGCAGAAGAGATAAGCGCAATAAGCTACGGACGTTTTGCTGCGGGGGTTACGCCAGAATTTAATTTCACATTAATTTTAGTTAATTAAACAGCAGATCCTCCCCTCGGCGGGTGAGGCTGAGGCGGTACGAAGCCCTGTCCCCAAACTTATACCGCTTTATCTCAGCTGCGCTGAACGCTCGTTAAAAGAGACCCCGCCCTCCCCCTCAGCGGGAGCCCCGGCCGG